TGGGATCTTGGGCTTAGGAAAAGTGCGGCTCGGAGTTTGTCTACGGCCCTGGCGCTCATGGCGTAAGTGCTTCGGGACCTTGGACTCTGGTTGTGGGTTATGTCGTGAGAGAACCCTGCCGGGGGTTGCTTGAGCGAAGAAACTCGAAATTACTCGGGCGGCAGTGCTTCACGAACGTGACTTGCCCTTGCCTTTGCACTGCCGGAGGATCGCTTCGGGACGTGGTGTTGAAACGGCGGTTACCGGATTTAGGTCTCGTCATCGTTAGTCCCTGGCTCAGGTGCCAATTCGGAAGCGGTCGCGAGAAATGCTTCCACTGGCGACAGGATCCCCTCAGCTGTCCAACACAAGTCTAAAGAAATATGATAAGGTTCAGAGTTTAGGGGCGCTCAGCCGCAATTGCGGCCCGCTCACATCGTTGGGTTCTCGAAGGTCAGGCCGTTGGGTAGAGGGGAGCATCTGTCAGCAGGAAACCAAGCCAGAAGTCAGTCCGGGCACCTGCAAACATTAGAGAAGGGAAGCGGCATCGCTCAACCTCTGCCAGCTTTGTTGCAGCGGCGTGCATGGGAAAACGTTCGGAATCGATAGTTCGAAGGCCTTTCGATACGACGGTTCACGGCAGACATTGCTGAAGGTACACGGCATCGTCTGCATGCAACAGCCGATCCACCATCGTGGCCGTCTTCAAAACGCCAGCATTCAAGAAAATGCTGATCTGTGATTGCGAAAGCAAGCGGCCAGAAGTCCCTCCGCGAACTGGTAGGGGACTTGAAATGTCGCTGGCTCCATCGTGCCCGGCTCAGCCGACGTCCAGCTGGCTGCATCGCATTTACCACACCCTGATCCTGGTGAATGCAACCAGCGTACTGATCGCCCGGTCGCGGTGCAGGGGCCTCGGTTGGAAAATAAGGGTGAGGCCCCGAAGCCGAGGCTTACAAATTCAGTCCATCGACCCACTGTCTCAGGGCACATTGGCAGACTCAGGCGTGCCCGCGGTTTTAGAGGCACACAAAAGGAGAAAGGATGCAAAGACTGCGTGCAATCTTGAATTATGCTGCAGAAAATTGAAACCCTGCAAAACACATCAGTAGTAAAGCTTCAGATCATCTCGAAGAAAACTCCATCGACTTGAGTTTGCAAAACTTCCATACATCAACCTCTGGTGGGATCTCTTCACCCTCCCGCCGAAATTTTCAATCCTCAAACCACAACCCGCATGTGAATTCCGAAGATTCTGAACTATAGCCCCTCGGCAGCACTCACCTATGCGCTCTCAGTCCAGGGAGGAAGCGCCAAGACCTCGAAGACCGCCTGCTCGAAGGCTTTTGGTAAAACATGCGTTCCGTTTCCAACTCAAGCAAAAGCAGCAGGAGCAAGCAGCAAATACTGCGTTTTTGGTTATACTCGCCCCCAAGTAGTCAGCTCTTCATTAAGCTCAAGGCTTGAAAGCAGTCACATGTAACTCTCGATTGGGGAAGTGTCGGTGATGCCGTGATGCAGTGGAATGAAACTTCCTAGCTTCTTGCAAGCTGTTGCAGAATTCTACAGGTGCTCGAGATGACGACGATGGTTAAGTCGTTCAAGCCTCAACCCTAACCTGCAAGCCTCTACCCTGTACCTAAACCACAACTCGTTCAATCATGATCCTTCAACACCTGAACCTTGCACCCTAGACCTTGAACCTGCAGCCCTGAAGCCCTGAAGCCATCCTTGAAACCATTTCCGCCCGACCCACGCAAGGCCTGTCGCGGAGACACCTCGCGGCTGAGGATGCGGGCAACGGACGTCAGAACAGGAATGAGAACCTGATGGAATGAAAGGCAGGGACCCTGGGACTGGCGGTGAAGGAAAGGATCTTCAGGAAGGATCTTCAGCTGACTACTCTTCAGAATACCCGGTAAGAGATGGGGGGTATTGGCTGAACCAGGCATGAGAAGCCCTTTAGCTTCCGCTGCGCCTCGCTCACGACATGTCGCCCGCGGACTGCTACACATGACGAAAGAAGGTCGAGGAACCTGATCCAACTCGAGGCTTCAGCGCGAGCCTTTTTTTCTGTTTATCATCCGTCGGTTACAGTCAAGACCCGCTCCGATCTATAGATGCCGCAAAGTTGGCAGACATCACAAACCTGACGAAGCTCTGGGTCCTACGTCTTCAAACGCAAAACAGCAGGCAAGTCGGCTCTCTGGAAGTGTGCCAGCCCTCGGGTTGCCGCTGATCCAGGCAATTGAACCCCCGTGGGCTCAGAATGGCTAGGGAAGCTCCTGATGATGCGTGTGTCATAGCACAGATGCGGGCCGGGCACTGGCACTCTTGCCGACTGAGTCTCGAATCATTCGAGTGAACGAACACTATCCCGGGCGGTGGAGCAAGCCACTCAGCTCAGGACGTGCTTTAAACAGGCATCACCCCTTCACCTCCGAGATTTTCTTGAAGAAGCCAAACTTGGGGAAGCAGACCAGGAAGCAGACCGAAAGCATCATGGGCACCTCCGGGAAGCTCTGCACACTTGGAAGGAAAGGCCAGAGTCGAAGCCTGCTTTTTCCGCAAGCCTTCTATGTTTAGTCAAGGCATGTCATGGCCCCTGTGGCATAAGGCCAAGCCAGGCCTCGGCATCAGGCGGAATCGCCGCTGCGGAAACAAGGCAGCACATTTGGCCCTGCCTTGGCATTGGGGCACCGGGGCACCAGTACTTCTCAAGGAACGCGGAAATCTAGTATCGCCAAGTTGTAGACTCGGGCGGTTCCGTGGATGTTAGAGCTGGCGCTGCTTGCAGCTTACACCAACTCCACGACAGCCCAAATGCTGGCTACTTGTTGGCCAAAGGTGCTGCTTGATGCAAACGGTCACAGGCACGATGCGGATGTCCAGGCAGAAGCAGCGAAGCCTTGGAATAGGTTCCCATACTCACTCGGAATTTAGAAGCTACAAATCCGCACCTATTCTTCAAAGCTCATTAGTCAAGACCAAGGTGCTTCTCGGTGTTGGACTTGAGGCAGAAGTCCCACTCCAGGCAAAGGAGTGTCTCCTGGTGTCTCCACTAGCGAATCCGTCTAAAACGTCCCTGGCCAAGTCGCTGAAACAAGTTCGGGCGAGAGCAGGAGGCAAGAACTCGCTGGATGAAGCAATCCAGCCGGTCCTTTGCAGCACATCCGATCTCGATATTCTCCAAGTTGAGGCCGTTGAAACAGCCTTGGCATCTACTCGCGCTGTTTCTCCGACAAAGTGATACTAAGCGCTGCTCATGATTACACAAGGTCTCGCAAGTGAGGAGCCTTGCGGCAACCGACAGTTAGGAGATTATAGTCGAGTCAGTCACCGAAAATCTCGTGGCTTTCACACCGAGGCACAGAAGCAGGCGCCGTAGACTGTCACCTCCCAGGGAGACAAGCACGCACAACGTCCCCACAGTAGCATGCTCCCAAGTTGTGGCGTTGAGTGCCCAGTGCTGTTAATCTCAGATTTGTGCCGCGGTTCTCTCCCTGCACAGGCGTGTAGATTGGGTTTACTTTCTGTTGCTTAGTTCTGGGCCGACCCGACTCGGGCACACCGCAGGACATTGGCGACATGGCAGGCAGGCTTATGTGAAAGGCATCTGACAATCCCTCACCCTAATGTCCGAAGGCCCACATCGCACCCTAAGACCACCCCATTGTGCGACCTTCGACTCGTCGATTGAGTCCATCGGCATGTTGACGACTGCGATGTGGAGGCCAGGGGGGCGACTTCGGAGGTTTGTGACTGTTGAGCCCGAAATCGCTGCGGCCGGCAGTGGCAGGCTTCATCCGGTCTGTGCGGGAGGGTCCACACAGGACGAGGCTAGCAGCGAAGCAGTGCGTTATGTTGACTGCACAAAACCCATTCGCAAGCTTCAGGCTTTTTTTGGCTGAAAGTGTTTGCCGGCAATGCTGCACATGCCTAAACTCTTTGCCAGAAGAAACAGAAAGAAGAGGGACACTGCCGCCGTGGCCTTGTAGTCGTCCGCCAGTTCAACGACCAACCTGCAGTCTTTCTGAAGACCGGGGGTTTTGGAGTATATGGGGCCTAGGCTTTGTGGGTGTCGGGGCATCGACCTGAAATGAAAACTCTGTTGGTTGCTTGTTCGTAAACTTTGGGGCTCAGTCTGGGTGTGTGAAGTTTGAGCTTCGCCAGCTTTTTGCAGCCCCTGACAAACAGGCATCGAAGGTCGAATCTGAATCCTGCACGACATGAGGCCACCGCATGACATGAAAGAAAGACCCAGCTTTACCAACCCAAATGGCCCTGAACTCCGCTGACAGAGACCCTCCCCACACACACACACACACACACACACAACCTATCTTGGAACCCTGAGTCGGGTCCAGCATCCAAGCTGACAGTTCTGAACTCAAGACAAGACAAGGCAACGGCCACACTTGATGCTGCACTCCCAAAGATACAACTCATGCCGAAATCCAAAATCCAACTCTAGAGCCCGTGTCCATTATTCAATCTGCTGTCACTTCTGTTGCTGACGTCGGTTCTTGCAGCAGCTACTTTTGACATCAACCCTCGTTTGGCCTGGCGGTGTAGACACCTTCGGCGACCCCGCGCTTCTCGTTGAGAACATCCTCGTGGGCGTCGCGGCTTTGCAGATTCAAGGGTCCCCTATGTCAGACTTTCAGTTTTTCTCACTTCGGAAAGGCCTTTCGTTGGGTCTTGCCATTTTCGTGCTCTGTGTAGGCCGGTTGCACCCTAGGCCGTTTTGCTAGCCATCTAGCCCTTCATCCGGAGGATCTGGACCTCAGCTATACTGAAGGGAACATTGGGGCACAAAAATCTCCGAGCTTCCGCCCAGAGTCCTCGGAGGTAGACATTCACAAGGTGTCGGACTGAGTGATTCGCGTGGGCTTGGAGCAGAATCCCATATGCTCCGATTGGCTGGAAGACCTGTCTCCTACATCACCATGTTCTATCACCTTTTCTGAAAGCCTATTCTTGCAGACCTTCCATCTTGAACCCCAACGACCGCTCAAGCCCTAAACCCCAAAAGATGAAAGCCTCGTCTCACAAGACGCCGTGCGCACCTCGAAGCGCTCGCCTTTGCCCAGCCGCACCCCCACGGTGCGGTTTCGGGACAGGCTCCCGAAGCAGGTGAGGAGGATGTCCCCTCGGGGCAAACGTTGCAGAAAGGCTACGGTTCTTGGGACCCTGGCCATGCACCTGGTGTGGCAAGCGTTCTGAAAGAGCCTTTTCTTGCCCTGCCGGAACAATCACTTTCAAGCCTTCCCTACCTCAACGGAGATTTGCAACGAGTAGTTCCGGTTTTCTTTGTTGGGTTGGGGGCAGGCGTTTGGGGCCAGTCCTGGAGAGATGCTGCTGTTGAAGGGGACCCGCTGCAGCTACCGTGACTCCCTTGGATTTGTGGCGCGGGGTTGTTCTCTGCATATATGAGTTAAGGATGATGGGGAACATGCTGTGATTCTGTGACGATTCAGTCAAGCCTCAGCTTTGCTCTGCACAGGGTTGACCACAACAAAAGCCAAAAAAGCATCGAGTGCAACTTTATCGGGGCCCTTCGGCTTTGCAAAATCGCATCATAAGACGTGGCTGCGAATTGAAGCTTGCACTGAGGATTTTGCCTTCTGTGATACAGTAGCGGTCACGAGCCGTCTGAAACCCCAACTCCCTGCTGGGCTCTGGACCCATCCCGGAAAGGCCTGCCAGTGTCTCCGGCCGGGCTCCTGAACTTGTTCGCTCTCTGTTCGAGTTTGGGGGTGGTTTGGGTACGCTGAGCGGAGGATTTGAGGCTTCGGCTCATGCTTCCCTGCTCGGGCTCTACCACACTCGGAGGAATACGCGCTCTCATCGTCAGCTATCCCCGCAGCACGGAACTGTGTCCGCTTCTAAGCTCAAGGCCTTCGCCTAAAGGCCTAAAGCCCACAGCTCCAAAAGCCACACCCTCCCAACGAACTGGGCTCCGAGCCCATAGCCGTGGCCAACCACCGAATCTCGGCGTTACCCTGTGTTCCCAGCTGGGTTTCGGGAATCTTCGGAAGTGGAGCAGGGAGGCTTCGGCTTCGGGGCCTGCGTCACCAGAGCAGACATGGCGTTGGTTCCGAGGCCGAGTCCCTGCAAAAGACTGCAGTCGGGTAAGCAAAAAGAACGTCTCAAACGGCGCTGAACGTCCGCCATGAAACCTCATTCTCTCCCGGAGACCATCCAGGGCATGCCCTCTACTCACATCGTCTCGGCGGTTTTGAGGTGCTAGAGAGTCTGCCGTGGCTTGAGACTCGAGTGAGTGCAGCATGGGAGAGGCAACAAAGCCGCCAAGCCAAGCACACCTCGCAAATGCCCGCAGCGATCGCCAGGACATTCTTTAGGGCCCCAGCGACCTGTGAAGCAAACCTAGCTCTGCTGGTGGTCCTTGCATTTTTCGAGTGGTTGACGACGTCAGTCATTGTTCCTTCACGTCCCCTAACCCCCTAAAGACAAATCCTTGGACCGACAGCTTCTCTGCCCTGACGGCCTTGAAACAAACCATGGGCAACGAAACTTCAAACTGCAGCTTCCGAACATGGTCTAGGCTCAGATTTGCAAGAGCATAATTCAGCCTTTGGTTTGCAGAACTGTTCAAGACGATATGCCTGGAAAGTTACCAACAAGCTCGCCTTGCGTGCCGTCGATGCTGCTACGTCATCGATGCTGCTACGCCTTGATCGGCTGCTTTCCGAAACTACCATCCCTGCCGTCAGAACCACCATGCGACCAGGAGGCTTGCATTTGAATTCTCAGGACCCGACACACTAAGTTCTGAAAGCTCAAGCCTATCAAAAGCTGAAGCCTTCGAACCTAAGTCCACCTGGCGGCCCCTGGCCCCCCCCCCGTTACCTCAACGCCAAGGACATCCTCGGTCATGCTCACACGGAAGTACTTGGACGTTAGCAACCTGGAGGTCGGCAGCTTTCTTGGGCCTTACGTCGCCCTTGTTCTGCTTTTTGTTTAATCGCCTCCTCTCCCACTGTAGCTGCAAAAAATGGGCTGCTCACTGCTAGATGTGACGGGATTCAGGGTTTGGGAGTTTATGGGATGGTTATCACAACTCCGGACGTAGATGCCAGGCCCCCCAAAACTCCAAGTAAGGATCGCTTCCCAGACCCGCCTGAATCCCAACCCCACGACTATACGAAGCCTGTGGACCAAAGCGACATTCCATCCGGGGCTTGCGGAGAGACAGTCGTCTCTGAGGTGCCGGTGCCTAAAGGTTGGGGCAGAAACCGAACGACAAACACACAAAAAAAAAAGCGGCCGAAGGTAACAAAAGTTTTTAGAACCCGCGAGCCCGGATGCCTGGAGACCTTCTCGGCGGCCTCCGGGCTCCTAGAAGCGGCAACCACCTGTACAGGGACGCTGATCATGCTTGGGCATGCAGCGCTTGAACACGACGTGAGTATCTCTGCACGATCCAAGTGCCCAACAGAGGTTGGCCGGCGGTCCATAATCTCCTGCAAATGGGAAAGCCTAAAGCCCTAACATGTCCTTTAGGCTGACAATGCTGCCCTGAGTAGCGGGCGGCCGAACAAGATTCTCAATACCCTAACGCATCTGGAGGACCTGGCCCTGAAACCCAGAGAAGTCGGCGCCTCAGGGCCCTACCTCCGCAAGCTTTCTCTGAAACCTTTAACCAAGGCCCCCCTGCAGAAGCCTCGTGAAACAGACCGTCAGACAGGGAAGCTGAAACAAATCGAATCGGGTAAGTCCACAAAATCCACTCACACTACTGACGCTCGAAACAAGAACCTGACGAACTGAGGCCCTTGTCTTGAAGGCTTGAAGGCACACCCAAGGCAATCTCCTGCGCAAAGGAGGGCCCTGAAACCACCACAACCTCGCAGACGTTTATGATGAGCAAGCTTCTTTTGAGGCTTAGTCCGGGAGATGCTTGTCGTACATCCTTACTCCACGAGCACTTCACCTCAGAGCCTCAAAGCCCAGAAGGGTCCAAGCTGTCCAGCCGAAGGATCCAGAGACGAAGTTCTCTAAGCTGTCTAACTCTCAGATCCAAATGGTCGGAACAGCCATGCTGCACATCCCGACGCGACCAAAACTCTCAAGATCGGGGATCCTTCCAAATCAGAACTTCACAACACCAACCAGCTAAACCTTCCTAACAGCTTCACACAGAGAAAGTCTTCCACAAGGGAAGTTGGGTGTATCACCATCTGGCCAGAATGAGCACATGGCTGATCATGCAACTAACGATCAAAAACGACGAAAGCTTATGGACCCGATCTCGCAAGCTCACACACAGCCCGAAGCTTCTTGAAGATTTGTGGAGGATGTAAACCCGGGAACCCGGAAATTGAAAGCCGCGAGAACCCATACAGCCGCGACAGCCCGCATCTGCAGAACAGGGCAAGGACTAAGGAGGTCCATAGTCACTATAGCAAGAGACGACAGTAGCGTAGATAGTCGCAAAAAAAAGATTCACTAGTACTATGTGAAAACAAAACAAACTTCACGCTAGCCAGTCATCAAGCCTGTCCCTCAGCTTCGTCGCGGCCAAGCGCCTGGGTCAGGGAGTTTCGAGTCAGAGCCAATCTAACTCTTTTGTGTGTGCGCACTTTGCTTTTTTGTTTTTTTTGGGGGGGGTCTTCGCGGGAAGGCTCTTTGAACCTTCGGTGCAAGCTGGAGGGTCTGTGATATCAACAGCAGGTGCAGGAGGCACCTGTTGCAGATCAATTAGATGTTGCGATCATTGTGCTAGAAGTCGGGTGCTTCGGCGATTTGCTTCTGGTCTTCGTCGTGGCTCTAGCACTGTATCCGGAAACACCGCGGACTTCAACATCTTTCCATGCTGTAAGATGTTGCCCCCATGTTGGTACAGGGCTTCAGAAAGATCGGATGAGAACTGAACATCAGCAGGTGAAGGATGGAAATGCTCTACAGTGATGCAATGGAACAACGCCGGCCTCAAGCACAAATCCTTAATCCAAACTGCCTCAACTTCACGAAGTCCTTGAACCATGAACCTCAACACTCCAGAACTAAAAGCCCCCCAAATAAAGAACCAGAAGCTTCCAAGAACCGTGCAGCCTAAAGCTTTCAGTGGCTTGGCCTCGGGGATGACGTCGCACATCAGCTTTCGGGTCCCGAGCTCCACGCCCTCTGAAAAAGTGGGGAGGGGGCTTGCGTTTCAGGGCTCCGGTCTCAAAGCCCGGGATTTACGAATTTTAAGGCTTCACCGGATCGACAGGTTGCGTCTGTGTTTTGAGACGGGAAACTGGTCTGAAAAGATCGGGAAGCTGCAAGGCAAGGCGCTTCTGGCATGAAAGCGGACCCCGGAACCGCACTTCAAAGATGCTTCGCTGTACAAAACCCTAGCCGCAACCTAATAACCACAAATTATTGAGCAGACCGCTTCGGCAAGCTTGAAAGTCCCAGGCCCCGCTTCGGCACTGAGTACAAAGCCTTGGACACGGCCACCACCGGAATGTCCGGGGGAACTAGCTCCCGGATGGCGCCCAGCGCCTGCCGCACGGTATTGGACGCGGAAGCTCTGACAGGTCGAGGCTTAGCTTGGACACAGCACCATCTCGCCGTTCTCTTATGAAACTAATGAAGCTTCAAGCCGACCACCTGTCGAACACACTCGGACCAGGAGCTCAGGGAATAAACAAAAGACGAGTGCTTGCGCGGAGTGAAATGCTTCGTGTAATCATTGGGATTGTCATATGGAAGAAGCAGTGAGAGGGTACCTTGCAGGAGGTATCCGAGTCTCAAGGACTCAAATCCCGGGACCGGGCATGTTTTTTCGGATCTGGCCGCGTTTTCGCTTTAGAGCCTTGAGCTTCCTTAAGGCCTCGCAGTCACGCAAGGCTCAGGGCTGCTTAGGTCTTAGGTGCAAGCGTCAGAGGAAGGGGCTCTCAAATCCCGGGGCTGCCTCGCGGGAAGATTGCACTGGCACAGCATGGATGAGCACATCGCAGCCTTCCAGGGCCTCCTGAAGAGGAAACACTTTTGCCTCGAACTGGCTTAGGGTCTCTGTTCTGATGCTCATCGCATTTCTGATGCGACTTCGGCAACGCAGAGCCGCACCGAGCAATTGCAGGGCCGCAGAAAGTCTAAATTCGGCCCAGGCGCAGCTGCATCCGTCGTTGCACCCACGTTCTTTGGCAAATCGAACTCCGAAAGATACCTGGCTAGCAACTGCGAGTCCATTAAACCTCACGCCTCCACTCACGATGCACAGGGAGCAGTGCTGGGACTGTCGCCTCGGATTGATATGCTTGCGGTTGATGAACTTGCACACCTCAGCGAGTCAGACATCGTCAACTGGTGCTTTCACATGCCCAAGGCGTCAGAAAGCAGAGAAGTTTTTGTCGGGCCTCGGCTCAGAGGCCCGGCAACAGGAAACTCGAGCCACAGGCCTAGGCCTAGGACGAGTGCCAAAACACAGCACGTCCTGAACCTCGAAAGCACTCCAACTTGTCAGAGCTAGTGACTGGCGCGCTTCTCGGCTTCTGTACCAAAACGCTTTCGGTCATGCCCTGGGTGCCGCACGGATTTGTTGCGGACAATCATGGTAACCATGTGGCCCTTGCGAGCCTTGGTTCCACATGCAAGGCGTGACAGCACAAAGCTGAGGACGTTGTTGGACTTTTGGCACTCAGGCTTTCTTGCTTCGATTCGTCTTTGGATCTCCCTGGTGTGAACCAAGTCTCGGCAAGTCTACAGGCTGTGACTAAGTCTTCAAGAATCGGCCACACACCCCTTTGCAAGACTCGCACGGCCAGTTCTGTCAGAGCCTGTGCAACACTGTGTCCGTGCATGTCAAAGTTGATTCGAAGACTGCACTAGTTTGGTCATCACCACAAGCGAGCACCTCACCGAGACAGAACGTAGTACATCTCTCTTCAGTCACAAGGACCCTTTAGGGGGGTAGGGGTCCTTTATAGTTCCTGGACTTCCGGTTCGGCGCTTCCAAGGCACGACACCTCGACCAATCTCGCAGCTATCATAAAATCCTGGAGTCTGGACATTGCTGCCCGGAGTGCAAAGCAAAATCTCCCCACGTTTGACACCTGGAACACTTCCGAAGCTCCGAAGACGGTTGAAGATCTCAAACAAGGATTTTTCCTGGGGCCGCTGCCACGTGGGCCGCCATGGCAGTGCCAAACGCGCCACCGCCCATGACGACCACCTGCGGTCGCAGCATTGGCTTTGGAAAGTCCGGCCGAAAGCTGAGTGTCTCAGAGGCATTGCTAAACGCAGGACGTGGGAGGACCGGCATTTCTGTTTCGGAGTAGAAGGTCAAAATACTGGAGTTCAAGACGTGTCCTTCTTTTGGGCTTGCGTGCGACAAGAAGAGCATGACTCCCCCAAAACCCCAGCATTGACATCCGTTCAGAGTTTGGCTCGAGCGACTCGGAGCGTAGTCAAGTTCAACCATTCATCTTCACGTCGCACCCGTTCGTCACATTATGTTTCGGCTTGGCACATGGGAGCTGTGGCACAGGAGAGACATCACGAAGCCTGAGGACACATCATAGCACCTCCAGAACCCAAAACATGGAAGATTGAGGCTGCAAACATCATAAGCCATTCCACTTTGGCACTAGGGTATCAGCTTTCTGGCGATTGACATACGTGCGCTCAGCACAGAAGCCTAAGCTCGATCTCCTAAAAAATAACTTCGCTTGCCTTCATCTTCTCGCAGTCGTCCGAGTGCAGGTAACCTGAAATAAGACCCCTGCGACGCTGACGGGACATACCCTCTATCCATCAGCAGAACCCATGCATGACACCCGATGTCCAAGATGCCAATGTCCTGCGGTACGCTGGTGCATAACATATCGTAGCACTTATGTGCGACTACAGATTTCAAGTCATGTCAGTTCTTATCTCCGCGACCGTCTAATCGTCTGCGCATGGAGGGCCCAAGTGGACAGACGGCCCGCTGGTCATCTCGGCTTGGTGCTGAGGCTGCAGTTTTGGTTCGGGGTAGCTCCCGGACCCCCCTAAGCTGCCAGACCTTCACCCAGCTAGCCGGGGACTAATCGCAGCGACATCTGGGCCTGCGACTGAGCCGATTGCTCATCTTATCCCGGATTTTAGCCCAGTACCTGTAGTGACCAGTTTCGAGGGAATGGGAGTGTTGGACAAGGGTCTTTCTCTGCCCCGACCCGAAATCGGAGAGCAAGAGGAAACAGCAACAACATAAGTGCTTGGACATAATTCTGTTTGCATTGAGTTTGCCAACTCCCCAAACAGAACCACCCCACACCTTAGCCGGCAAATCGACAAAGGTCGAGGAATTCAGTGGTTCAGTCGTTGGGGCCCCTGAGAATGCAAGCTGATACAGTTCCGGTCGAGAGTTTGGCAGCTGAGCAAGCATAGGAGATGGAGCTCTTGTCCGGTAACTGTAGTCCTCATCCCTCTGAAAGCCTGATTTGCAAAGCGAGTGATCAACCTCTCACACCAACTTGGTCTGAGCCGTGGTACACAATTTTCCGCCACACCTGGGCAACGCGGACTTGAAGGAAAATGAGGTTGTTGCCGCACTGACTAGACAAACGGCTGTGATCGTCACCACGATCCAGTCACCATGATCAGGAACATCACACCATCACCATCATACCAAGAACATCACCCCCACATCATCGTCTCATGGCATCTCTTCTTGCTGCTAGGTTATGTCTGGCTCTCATCTACTATTTCATAACGAGTCCTGCAAGAAGTACTACCAGCGGCACCAGGGCCTTGTACAGTTTCCATCACGTGCGTCAAACTTACACTCTAACCGCCATCTTTCAGGCAGAGCTTTGCAGTTTGGTCTACAACACGGGCACGCCATTGCGAGCAAAACGATGCTCCACTGCCCGAAGCTACCACGACCGCAGCATGGATTCGGTGAACAGGTCCCTAAATCCCACACCCAGCCGCCTTCTTCGTGACGCTGGCGGGATGGCTGTTGCCCGTCCGCTTCGGCAGCACCGGTGGCAGCACATTGAGATCCAAGTCCGGGACCTCCGTACCCTGAGACGCAATGCAGGTGCGGTTACTTTGGTGTTCATGCAAGGATTGGAAGTCTTGGGGTCTCAGCAACTCTGCCTCAATTCGATCGCTTGGAAGCCTCATGGCTTAGATGGGGGGATATGACAGTCTCCATCTGTTGTAACCTGTTTCGAATACTCGTACACTGGCGGCGGCTTCGTTCGCCGACGACTCGGGAGCTGGCACGAAGGATTCACACACCGGAGACAGCCCACCAATACAGTGAAAGGGTGGGTGCTGCAGAATCCCCAAAATCCTTCAAGGAGTGACCCGGTCCCAAGCTCCGAAACCTAAACCCTAGCAAGCATCTATTAGTTCTTGACTCTGGCCGGATGCTTTTCTCATTTCGTATGGCCCGTTTCCCACTCCGGCTCGTCCTCTTCTCTGACTCGACCCTCTCTGTTTCCCTGCTCGGTCATGACCTTCGTTTCCCGACTCGTTTTTCCTGACTTTCTGTCATTGCACAGGTCTCAAACCCTTAAACCCCGAAAAGCCTGAGGCGCGACCCTAGCACCACAAAACCCTAAACCCTGAAGCCTCGCGATACACCTAAACCCGAATTCCATCTAATTCCTTAAATATGTTCCACGACACTTCTGCGAACCCTAATTAAAGCGCCCTGTGTGCATGAATCTACTTTCGTGCTTGAATCGGCGGTGCTCGAACCGCCGGCGTTCGTAAATCGCTGGTGCTTGAACCGCGTGCGTTTGAATCGTGGGTGCTTGTAGGGTCTTGATCGAAACTAAAACAACGAGGTGGTTTGTAGTGCACGGCACCATTGATCTCGAATGCAAGGCTCGGCACTGAGATGACAGGCTCAGTCTCTCGGCACCACCCTCTCCCCTGAAACAGGCCAACACTCATACCGAAACAAAAAACCCTGAAATCAAAGCGCTTTACATGCCATTCTAATAAAAACTTTCTCCGTGGCTCGAGGCCTCCAAGGCTCTCCGTGAGTGCCAGTGAACGTAGCGCATTACCCGGGCCTGGAGAGAGAACAGTGGAAGCTTAGGGTTTAGGGCTTGGGGCTTTAGGGTGGTGGGGCTTGAAGGAATAGGTTGTCTCGTTGGGTACCGGCTTCAGGGCGTTCTTGCTTCGGCACTAGCATTGGAAGAGGAGCAGGAGAAAAGATGCAGGTCCATTAGGAAACTATGGAAGCACCGTCTTCGGCTAGCCGTGGCACACCTGTAAATGGCCCGGGACGGCCAAGCTGAGGTCCCGTCGACTGGTCCAACTACTGCTAGCGCGCTGTGCAAGCGCCACAAGTAAACCCCACCCTCGCAACCCAGCCCTGAACCGAAATCCTCCGTCAGGCAGCGCGGCAGCCCATCCCGCAGATCCGATGTTTCCTGAGCCCTGCTCAGAAGATGCTACAAGGAGGACCGAAGAAGTCTTCGTTGCAGAGGCAGGGAATGATCCGACAGCTCCAAAGCCACAGCAAGGCGACCCAGCAAGAAGAGCCATGAAAACCCCAAACTAATCCACCAGGCCCGGAAACCACGAGCCCTGTCCAATGGGCCTTCCACACCTTCAGCTTCAATTTCCAATTGACTGCTGCGAGGCCCTGGCTAGATAGAGTGATCTGCTTCATGCTTATACTTAAGACTTGCTGCATGTTGGTTCTTCTCATCGTGCTGAGTGTTTGTATTGAGCTGATAGATGTTCATGGCTTCGGGACTCGTCTGCCTGTACTAGAAGAAGAAGTAGAAGACCCCATTCCTCGTAGTGGTAGCTAGGCTCAGCTGGCACCCTGACCATCTGTTGGGCTTTCAGGCCAGGCTCAGTTGGATTAATAAGCCGAACTGGCCACCGCCCTTTTTGGCCGTAAAGTCGCCGATGCCCAGCCCTGTATCGCGTGCAGACTGGGGAGAAATTGTGACAGCATGGAAACCTCCGAGCCAGGTTTCAGCAAGCAGGAGCCTGACTCGTGAGCCTCTCATGAATCAATGGCCCGGTCAGGCTAACTCTGGGCGTGGCAGACTCGACTTGCGAAGCCATGCTCTGTAACGAAGATCCTAGTTACGCCCAGCTTGCACCCGAGGCAACGGGCCGGGAGGACCGTTCGCCTCAAGCGGCTCTGTCCTTGGAGACCTTGGCATAAAAACAACAAAGCCAACTTCTACCAGAACTAATATACGCTTGATCCTCCTACGACGACTACGACCACGACTACGACCAGGACGAGGACCAGGACCAGGACTCGGACTAGGACTACGACGACTACTATTAAGTACTGCTGCTGCTACTTCTACTGCCTCTACAGCTGCTACTGCTGCTGCTACTGCTGCTGCTACTGCTGCTGCTACTGCTGCTACTGCTGCTACTTCTGCTGCTACCTTCTACCACCACGACCCCCACAACCACCACTGCTGCGGCCACCGGCGCTAGCTCTGCGGATACCCACTTGGAAACAGCTTCAAGGCCTGCCTTCCAAGCGCCAGGCAGGCAAAAGCCCCACAGAGCAGCGCAGGAGAGCCGAGGGACCTCACCACAACACGACCGGGCCGACCTCGTCCCCTCTGTGGCAAAGAAGCCGTGGAAACTCGGCTGATAGCTGGAAAATTCCAGGAAATCAGCCGCTTGGGCTTCAGCATCACAATGCCCATGATAGTGGTATTGCGACCCGTGGGCCCCCAAAAGCCTTCGCCGCTACCCACCTGGAAGCCTGAGAAACTTTGAACTCAATGAATACGCCGAAGGCCCGAACCGAAACCCTAAGCCCTGGTCTCCCTCCCTGAGGCACGGACCTCCCGGTGGCCTCACCTCCACTCAGTGGATGAATCCACTTCGAGTTGCAGTTTGGGTGACGTTCACTGGCTGGCCTAGCTTCTCTTGCACTTCGAGCCTGCTCAACACCTAAATCATAAAACCAGTCCCAGGCTGAAACTCCTAAGCTCTAAAACCACCCCGACGTTCACCTGCACGCCGACGAGTCCTGCAAATGCGGGCTTCGGAGTTCGAAGAGGATTGTGCGAGGGGAATAGAGATAAGAAAGGCAGCTCACATGTGTCGATCCACCCCTCCAGCTTGTGAGGAGTTAGAGCTGCCCTGTCCGGTCCTGATACCACACCACTTACCACCCTGAAATGCTTTGTCGTCCCGGCGTCAAGACAACCGAAAGATGCTCTAAGTTCGCTGGAACAACTTTGCCACACCGCTGGCTCCCGCAATCGCAAGGGGTCCAATGACACCGCAGCTAAAGTGAGCGACCACGAGTCCACGTGGGCTGCTTCGATCTTGTCGGACCATCATCACGGTCATCATTCATCATAGTCATCACGCTGAGGGTCACGCGACTGTCGCATCGTCGTAACCCTCCTGCTTCCGCCATCATCATCATCATCATCATCGTCATCCTCTTCTTCCTCATCACCATATTATTTATCGTAACCGTTCTCATCATCATCATCATCATCAACAACCACCACCATTATCATCCTCATCCTCCTCATTCTCATCATCATCATAATGCTCCTCATCATCTGCTTCTTCATCACCATCATCCGCATTCTCATCAGCAGTCTTCAGCATCCTCTCCATCATCACCGTTGTTCCCATCAGGTCGACGGATCCTGAAACTCTAGCGTTTCGCTCCTCTGCAAGGCGTGGTACGGCCCAGGCGGGGCAACCAAGGACGGGCTACCATGGCAGACCAGAAGCATCTGGTTTTCTGGTTGAGGTCTCCGGCTTGCTTGCGATCAGGCGCTTGGACGCTTTGTGCTTCAGGCTCTGGCTGAGGATGCTTCAGCGAAGTGGAACGCTAAGTGTGTAAGAATCCGGTCAAAAAGGACCGAGAGCTGATCACAGGCACAAGGGACCTTCCAACTTACCCTTGTCTACCATCCTTCCCCTGATTGCATCGTAAAGCCTAAGCCCTGAGCCCGAAGCCCTAAGCCACTCCTTTTTAGGTTTAGCCACTTGGTGGTACTGACTTGATGTTCATGGAGCTCGGACCCTTGAAAGCCGAGACGGATCAGCACGGAGCTTGCGGCTTGGGCTTGGGCTTCGGATTTGTCATTATGCTATGTGCTTTCGAAAGATTTGGGATCTCAGCTGTTATCATGTTTGCGCTCTGGATTCTGCATCTCAGGCTGGGGCTGCTTGAGGTATCATGGAATCAAGTTAGGGCTTGCTATGCACCCCCCACACAAGTCCCCAAAGAGAAGCTTGAGTCTGGAGTCTAGGCGCAGAAACATGTTCTTAAGTGTTCAAGTTTGCATCTCAGCCTTCATAGAAGCAAGCTGCACCGGGGCTGGAGCCCTTTAAAAGATGAAGTACTTTCTCGACTACAGTTGACTACAGCATGGCATACCTCAGAGCAGTTAAAGCTCGAAGCAAGCATTCTTGTGTCCGTGGTCGACTACATGCTGAAATTTTCGGGCCAGCAAGACGCCCAGGTGAAGCCGAACACAGTCTTAAGCAAAAAAGTCAACCAACGCCTAGCCACTGACGATGCCGAATGTTTTGCTCTCGAATTTTTTTTCTCCCTGCGCCTGCGCTGTCTCTTCGCTTGAACTTCATGCCTGACCTAACCGTCGCACACAGAAAACTGAGATCAATAAACCGTCCATGCTTTCGTTGTTTCGTGGATGCACGGACGTGCAGCATGCCCCTGGGCTGAGATGCTGGCAGGGTCGCGTCGCTTAAGCCTGGGAGACACACTGGCAAAAGTGCTAACTCTAAGCCATAACCCAAGATAGGCAGGAAGTGTCAGAGCTGTGCTGTTCCATCCCAACCCGGGTTCAACCCATCCAGTGTTCTTTGCCTCGAGTTGGGCTTCCAGGGTAGTGTTACTCTTGGCAGGGAGGCAGGGAGGCAGGTAGGTAGGTAGGTAGGTAGGTAGGTAGGTAGGTAGGATCACTCCGGCCATCACTCAGGTTAATATACTCATCCTGGTTTACGAGCAACATAGCAACACTGAGCAGCAGAACTATGCTGCTCAGCGGTGCTGCCAGCTGACGCTATTGGCAGGACAATTGTTGCAGCCTCTTTGGGTTAGTGCAGAGCCTTGCATGTCAAGAGACATTCCAACCCTCCGAATGCACTCAGAGGCTCAGTGGTCGGCACAGGGGAATCTCCCGCCAGGGGCGTTCTGTTGACCTTCAGTCTTGGCCGGCTTGCACTTCAGGGAATGTAAGCAGCAGGATGCTGAGCTCTGGGATTGGGATATTCAGCAAAAACACCGACACTTGCATGGATTTCTGGACTATGACTACGACCGAACACGTGGAAAGCCGCCGACTCATTGCCAAGCTAACCCACAAGCAGGGGCTTTCGAAAGTTAAGCGGTCTCCCACATTCACAGCAAGTAGCGCCTGACTTACAGCTGCCCAGCTGGGACCATGGTCTCTTCCTAGCCTGCCCACCAAAGGCCTCAAATTCAGGAAAGCCCCAATCAGAAGCTTTACTCTTCCCTGCCCTGTTGTAAGCCGCTGTCACACCAGTCTGGCGGGGTCGGTAGTAGCGGCCCTCCTGCAACACGCGAGAGGCTCTGTTCCGACTTGAACAAGCCTGGCGCATAATTACTGCAGCGACTCTTCAGAGTTGTTGTGACCGGCGCTGCATGTCGCTTTTATCTCCTGAAGCAAGGTCAGTCCAGAAAAAACGCCCCCTCCGCCCCGCGCCTTTCGGGCCTCTGCCTGGGCTCAGGTCCGAAAGGGTTGGGGGCGCTGCCCCATTTTTTAGTCCAGAGCATGCCATCCCAGCAGACCCACAAAGACAGGCACACGTATGCACCATACCGGGACGAATGACACCTGCTGACCTGCCCAACCCCGCTGTATAAACTGCCCATTCACGGTTCACTTGCCTCCTTCAACAGGTCCTCCACCTCCTCTCGCAGACGCTTCTCCACCTCCACTGCATCCAAAATCCAGGATGCAGACTCCGGGCTGAAAGTGCTAGATTCACATCCCTTTGTTTGCTTCAAGGTAGGCTCTTGGAAACAAGCTTGGAATGAAGATCAGGCTCGGGCCTTCGAGTATGGAGCGTTTGACTCTTGGAGATGTTGACCCTGTTTGGGGTCGGCAGGACTTCGGGCTGTATGGGGCAGGCCATTGCCGGAAAAGGTATGCCCATCCCTGAATTCTTGCAATCCTTGCAACTGAAGCCCGAAGAATGAAAGCTCAAAGCCCTCGAAGACTGACTTCTTGGATGTTGTGCCTTTGCCATGCGGACTGTGCTCGACCTAGAACTAGACGGGGCATCCAAGGCTTCGACAGTGGCCGGCGGGAGGTGGCCGTGTTCTCTCAGAACACCTCTGAGGCTTTACGGCTGACGTTCTGCCGCTCGTCACAGCATTGATGAAAATTCCTCCTGTTTGTTATCTACAAGCAAACAAGAATACTTTGGTCACTTTAACACATGTTGCATGCCACATGTTTATGTGGGGATTGTCAGAACTTGCCCTGACAATCGCCTCTTCTCTGACATGCCGGCGTGAAAAGCCCAGATGGCATGCAATTCGGCCGCCCGACAACACACTCCATCACTTCAGAACGGATTGGAGATGATTCTGCTTGAGGCCTCAAGTTGTTCAAGGGCCAAGTGGCGCCGTGTTTGGAGCTGTTCGTTTTGAGCACTACGCCGAGATGATGAAGAAAAGACCAACGAAGCCTGCAGCCATGACCAGCACGATTCTCAGTCCCAAAAGCACGAAGCCTGAAAGTTGAAGATCACTAAGTCACTAAGCCCCAAAAGATAGGGCGGGCCCTAGGGGGGAATGTCGTTTTTGGATTAAAAACAAACTCTACCCACCTGGCCCCCATCTCAGTTCCGACTTCCGGCCTGCCAATGGTTGCAAGACGCTTCCAACGCTCGCCTGCCACGAAAACCGGATGCTTCATGCAAGGGCCTCAAGTCTCGAAGCCCAAGCAAAATGCCCTAAAAGTACGGCCTGTACCGAGCCTGAACCTCGAAAAATTCAAGCTCCATGCGGGATGAATCATTGGCAGAGGGGCTTGAAAAAGTATCAAACTCACCCCTCTGGACTGCGACACCCATGGAGCGCCTCCAACATCACGACGGCAGGGGTGAGGGGCACAGGATCCAAATGAGGGCGAAGACACCTCGAACTGCAGCAAGCAGGAAGAAGCGGACAGGAAGGCGCAGGCAAGAGCAGAAAAACTCCAACCAAGACAGGAAAGTCTACTTCGGCACCTGCTCTCGCCGTCCGCATCCTTGACTATGAAGCGTATTCGGCCAGCATAGTGGAGATTCCATTGCCTGCGGCTGTCCGAACATATCAGCAAAGCAATGCTCGCTACGCGCAGTAGAGAGCAGCTAGCTCAGAACAGCTCATTGCGCAGAGACCGTTTCACCATCCAAGCGCCGCAAGCCCTATGCGGAAGCTAATGCAGAACGTGTCTCGCAGGCTAATGGCCAAAGCTTCCAAGCTCACTCTCTCGTCGGCGCTCACGACCCGATGCCCAACCCGAAACGCTGAAGGAGCGGCGACAGCTGAAAACAAGACACACCCCCGGATTTCAGGCTTCAGGCATAATCTGTAACATAATCAGCTTTAGGACTCAGGTTTTCGGGCTTTCGGGCTGCAGGCCACTCAGCAGTTGCTCCAGGGAGATCTTTGTCCCTCACAGTTCGCCTCCTTCGCCTGGACGAAGAGCAAAGAGATTAAAGAGATCAGAAGTGCCGAGGCGCATCAGAAAGCCCCAGGAAATCATCATGACATTTGCCTGATAGGCTCCTCCTGTTGCTGAAAGCCGCTGTGCATTCAGCTGCCGCGGACTGCAGGGTTCAGGGTTCCATCATGTTCTTCAAGGGCTTGGGACTGCAACTAAAGCCCGGAACACACGACGTGCACAACAGGAGGCAGACAATGCTACAGGACACGTTGCACTGCTGAAGAAGTACTTGAGGGCCAACGGCACCCGAACTATTGATTGTTGAACATTGCTGTTGTTGATGCTGATGATTCTGGTGCTGATGGTCATGATGGTGATGATGGTGATGATGGTGATGATGGTGGTGGTGATGTTGGTGGTGGTGATGGTCATGGTGTTGATAATGACGATGATGATGATGATGGTAGTGATGATGACGGTAGTGGTCATGATGGTAGTGATGATGATGATACTGGTAGGGATGATGATGATGATGGTAGGGATGATGATGGTAGGGATGATGATGGTAGAGATGATGAAGATGAAGAAGAAGATGAGATGAAGCTGAAGATGAAGATGAAGATGAAGATGAAGATGAAGATGAAGATGAAGATAAAGATGAAGATGATGATGATGATGATGAGGATGATTAGGAGCATAGTGGTGAAAATTGTCATGGTGATGGCCATGACAACCATGCACCAACCCTACGACTCATAGCAGGGTGTCCTCCGAGTCCTTCGGGTGTCAGTCGTCCAGGGGTAGGCCGGTGCTCTTCCAGGCTAATCACCCGAATACATCACCTAGCATCCAGCAGGGGTCTTGGTGATTGAGTGGATTTTGGTCCATGGCATCGAGTTGGAGTGAGATCTTCGGCTTCGGGTTTAGTTTAGTGCGAGCGAGACCAAGCTGAACTTGCAAGATGGAGCTGCCCCGAACCCGATACTAAGAGTAAACTTTGATGAAACACCGCACATGCTTCGATGATCTGAGGCCTACACTGGACTCCAACCAAGGTAATCCGAACCCTGGAAACCGTCCAGCCAGAAGCCTCAACGATGTCATATAAAAACCACAGCAACGCCCTTCAAAGTCTCGAAAGCCTCCAGCGTTCACTCGCAATGCTAAGCCCCAACCCGACAACCCTCAATCCGAGGCCCCAAACCCTGATCCCGAAACCTGAACCCTCGTCTGTGAAGCGAAGGGCATATCCAAAACCAAGGCCCTGAACTGCCCCAGACCTCCTCCAGGGCCTTCCTTGCTGCCAACCGCCTCTCCTCGTCGTGTTGACGTGTTGAAAACAACAAAAGGCTTTTCTTTGGTCTTTCCTTCGTATCTGGCTGTGGGTCTGTCCAGTGGGGGCGGATCCCAGGAATGACACAGGGCAGGCCAGGCAGACAGAAGACTTGGAAGATTCTGGGTGGAAACCCTGTGGCGCTCCTGCATGCTCACACACCCGCCTGTATATAACTGGACCTACCTCGACACCCTGGGAGATCCTTAAACAGTCTACTGGCCCTGCAGCTGCGTCTAACACGGAACCCTCAAAGCGGGTGTGAATTTCGATGTTTCAGAACGGGTCTAGAGAGCTTTCATTCCCCAACCTCCAGGAGAAGCGCCTCCTGCATGATCTCCTGCGATGGCGAACAACGTCGGCTTCAAACTTCAAACCCCCAAACGGTTCACCCTAGGGCCGGGGATAGTTTCAGGTAGATGCACGTATATAGCGGAGCTCTTTTGGATCAGTGCTCCAAAGCATGCTAATATCATGAAAAAAGCTCGGCTGGCATCTGTCTTCCCGTAAAGACCCTAAACCTTGAAAAAGGCGCGTCCAAGCCAGTTGGATGTGGCAAATACTCAAAATGCAGACACCCGAGTCGAGACGCCAAGAATTTGTGCTCCAGGTTTCTGTTGGTAGTGATTTGGTTTTAATTTCAGTGTATTTTATGGTTTTCGGTTCGATCCATATACAAAGCTTGCAAGAGTCACAGGGATGGCGACAACTGAGGCTGTATTCGAGGTCTGCTTTGGTGAATGCTGATGGGTTTCGGCCTAGTGGCCCCCCCTTATTTGGTGATTCCGGTTCATCATATATCTTGAAAACACCCCCACATTTGGCGATAACGGTTCATCACATATCTTAAGCACGCCCCCCCCTCCATTTGGCGATAGCGATTTATCAAACACGCCCCCTCATTTGGCGATAACGTTTCCTCATATATCTTAAACATGCCACCACATTTGGCGACAACGGCTCATCGTATATCTTAAACACGCCCCGCCACTTGGCGATACCGGTTCATCGTATATCTTAAGCACGCCCTTTTTTGGCGATTCCGGTTCCTCATACATCTTAAACACGCCCCCTCATTTGGCGATTCCGAAACCCCTCATTTGGCGACTCCGGTTTATCCTATATATTAAACATGCCCCATCGTTTGGCGATTCCGGAACATCATACATGTTAAACACACCCCTCCTTTGGCGATTCCGGCTCACCATGTATCTTAAACACGCCCCCTCACTTGGCGATTCCAGTTCACCATACATTTTAAGCACACCCCCTCTTTTGGCGGTTCCAGCTCCTCATACATGTTAAACACGCCCGCTCATTTGGCGATTCCGACATTCCGGTATCTCATATAGCTTAGACATGCCCTCAGCATTTGGCGATTCCGGTTCATCAAATATCCTTAACACGCCCCCCTCCCCATTTGGCGACAACGGTTAGTCATGTATCTTAAACGAACCCCCTCATTTACCGATTCCGATTCCTCATACATGCTGAACATACCCCTCGTTTGGCGATTCCGGCTCACCATAATTCTATCTTAAACATGCGCCCTCATGTAGCGAGTCTGGTTCACCACATATCTTAAACAGGCCGCCCCCTTGTTTGGTGATTCCGGCTCATCATATATCTTGAACACGCCCCCTCATTTGGCGATAACGGCTCCTTTATATCTTAAACACGCCCCCTCGTTTGGTATATCGGTTCATCATATGTCTCAAACACTGGCGGACCGACTTACCGACTGTCCGACCGACTGACTGACCGGCGCTTGGCGCATGGACCAACCGACCGACCGCCCGACTGACTGACCGGCATGCTCGCGTACCGACCGACGCACCGACTAACTGACTGACTGACTGCCGCGCTCGCGGATCGACGGACGACTGACCGACTGACTGACTGTCTGCCCGGCGAGCTCGCGGATCGACTGACCGACTGACTTATTGCTTGAAACCATTCAGGCAAAACCAAAAAAAGATACCCAATGCCAACAAGAACCCCCAACCAAGAAAACGCCAGGGACCTAGTGGCGTCTAGAAGCTGAAATGTCAAGCCCCAGTGTCCAGCCGTTGTCGGTGCGAGGTAGACTGCAACATGGAGTGCACCTCGGCCAAACATTCGGGCTGCAAGGAAGCTCTGGGAGCCGGAAAACTTCGCCGGAGTCAAAACCGGCCCCAAAAGTCTCTCCCTCTTCTGCAGATGCACCCGGCTTTTGTAACTGCATCGCTCCACCGCAGGAAGATTCCGAGTCTACCTGCAGAGAACCACTGTTCTTGGGCCCCGGCAAAGTGCATGAGATCTGCATTCAGCAAAGCTGCCTCGCAGTCCCGTGACCAACTGAGGGTTGAAACACTGGGGCGGAGGGAGCCGTGTAGTGTAGGTAGCGCATGAAATGTGGTATTTCTCCCTGCCATGCACGTCAACAACCATCATGCCCGGCGAATGCAAACTCTGTCAGCGCCTCCTCCTCGTACTGATTCTGCAGCCTCCAGCTGACCGGGCAGAAGCCGAGAATTCTTAAGTTCAACCTGAAGCCGAGACTGCGACCTCGGTAACCTCTTCTGAGAGCTCGAGGCTCGGAGTGTTTTCAACGCTCGTGATACGTGGACCACCGGTAAGGTCGGTGTTGCGACTGCTGTGGGACTGCACATGTCAAACGGCTACTCTGTCTGCCGCCTTGCGATCTCCCGGCGTGCGGGGCCAGGAAGCTCCATGATGTCTATCTCCTCGACGTAAGCTTCTGCTAGTCTTCTGCTTCAAATCCCACTCTTTCTCTAAGGAGAGATTTTTTGCTCTTTCCCTAAGGAGAGATTCTTGTGACTTGGGACCTGTGCGTGCACGACTTCTTCGCGCGTTTTGGTGCCGTCTCAAGATTAGGCTTTCGCAGCTCCCGGATATCAAAACTTCGTGAGGGGTCCAGGTGCTGTGTTCCAACAGACCTGTGTATCATCTTTTGGCTGTTACCTCCATCTAATGTGAAATTGCATACCTCCAGGATATAGGGTTCTGTCTTTATAGCAACAGCAAACACAACAGCGCGCATAGGATCTTCTAAAGAGGAATTATAATTACATAGTACATGTCTGTCATGACCTGTTTCGGTGCGTTTAAAGGCGGCGTTCGGAAAGGAGAGAGCTTCGGGGTGAAAGTTGCGAGACCTACATCGCTCACCTGCAGCCCCTGAAAGCGAAGCTGCGCGTCCTCATACTCGAAGTCGTCGTCGTCATCGTCGTCCTCGCTTGCCAAACCTGATGCATCTCAGGAACGCACGAAATCGCTGGCACCGACTTCTCTTTGGCTTAGACAGAGTTCGCGACGCAAGAAGACTTCTGCTCGCCAAACTTGTAACCCCGACACTTGCCCGGGCTCCACACTGTAGGTCTGGCGATCATCGCCTTCCTCCTCCGGCGACGCTTGCTGCAGGCGTACGAACTTGCACCCTTTACCCCAGACTCCATACACACAAAACACTGAAAAAGTGCCTTCTAAGGCTGTGGAGGAGTGCCTCCAACCTGCCCAGTCTACACTGTACACGTAAGCCCACCTCCAGGCTGTACCGCTCGTACACCTGCCGTGACTGGTCTCAGGTAGGATGCCGGCTAGGACCGCAGAGCTCAGGGTTGATCTGTTGAAGTCACTGCCGGGATCTTGAGCATTGGGGGTTTACCATGCGCAGAAGCCACCCACGTGGGGATAATGTTGGTTGTTGTCCCGAAGTTTTAGGGCCTAGACCTACCTGCTCCATCTCGAAGTCCAAGGTCTGCTCCTTGTCGGACAGCAAATATTCGTAGTACCTGGACAGTCCACAGCCCATGCTGACTTCTGCAAGCCTTTGCTCGGAAGCTCCTCCAAGGACTCCTCAGAAACCTCAACCCACAGGTACCCACCTGAAGCCCAAAGTCAGCTGAGCGCCGAACTCGGCGAAGACGTCGGCCAAAGTCCAGAGGCCGCCCTCTTGCGCGCACGAGGCGTTGGCGTAGTCCTAAGACTTAAGAAGGTTCGGTCGAGGATTTCACAAAGCACTGTGTATGAGCTATCATCCAACTCAGTCTGTCACGAAAAACGGCGCGAACGCTGAACTCTGCAAACAACCCGAATATGGGCCCCTTGAACTCACAGCCGCTATCAACAAAGTATAGCTTTGATGCCGTTGCGGGACAGAGATGTGGCTTTCGAAGTGCGGGCCGCCACCCTCCTCGCCAAGGCTCCGGATACAGGCTTAAGGCGCTGCTTTCCGTATTCCGGGTTTCGGGTGTAAGATTGGAGGCTGTAAACGGCAAACGGCCAAAGCAAATCCGAGCTCAGAATAGGAAAGGTGAGCGTCTTTGTCACCAACAGAGTGTTGTTGGCTCCTCCTGCCGCTGCGCCACGCGACTCAAAGCCGACATCACCTCCGCCTTAGAATTCAGGCTTGAATTGAGGCCGTTTGGGTTCAGTGTCTTGTAACCAGGGCAACAACCATAACCGAAAGCCCAGCAAACATGAGGTCAATTGAAGTCAAGAAGAAGCACACTCGATACCGATCATAAGAGTCCTGAAACCCGAAGAGCCGTAGCAATTATGCTGACTATGACAACGATGCTCGCGCTCAGCATTACAATGCCAGCAGTCCTTGTCAGAACGGCACTGGCGTTAACAGCAAGAGTAAGAGAACTGATATGGCTAACAATAACAGCACTCAACTCGCCTGAGTCATGTTATGTAGCTTTCCGAGAGGCGGAAATTAAAGCTTGGAGTTTGAGGCATCGGGCTTCGGATTCCAAGATTTAGCATTGGCGACTGTGACAATGGTTAACGTTCCGGTGCCCTCTCGAACAAAGTAAATACCTGCAGGTGAATGCACCTGCGCCCTTATGCAGCCGCTCGTGGGCACAGATACTGTAGAGCCATACTTCCTTATAGCTCACAGGGTGTGTGAAGCCTAGCGGAACCCTTCGGCAAGTAACCTTAAATTGTGGACATGAACCGCATGGACACTCCTGAAAAGTCCCAACTTCTAGATCCAGTTCAGGGCAATACATCGTCGTGAGGGGTGCTCGGAAGGCCGCAACACACAGGTTGGAAATAGACCACAAGCTCCGATCAAGCAGCACCCCCATGTCACATGCAAGAGGCACCTGTTTGGCCGCCGTATTGGTGTCGGACGCAAGCTCTACCTTTCGAATTGACAGTTTCGTGGCTTCGGGCTTCGGGTTTAGGGTCGCGGGTGTAGCGCGCTCCTGCGCGCCCAAAACCCGACTTCCGGACAATGTAGGGGGGGGCTTCGCGCGGGGAAGCTTCATGAAGCTGTACGAACCCTCCGAGCCAGAGTTGTGGACAGAAGCTCCACCCTGGCTCGAAAGGGCTTACATGCATCTTATGGACTTTCAGCACTGCGAGGTTGCCACAGGATTCAGGAAGTGGCTCCAGCCCAGGTACGTCCTTGAAGTCCTCAACCTCCGCCAAGAGGTAGGTTGACTGGTCCTCGTCACAGGCTTTCCGGGCCCGTTCAAAGTTTGGCTTTCGGGTCAGATAGCAGAAAGGCGTACAGCAAAAGAGCTGAATAGCACATCCCAGCATGCTAGCTAGCGCCATCGCAGCCAACTAGCGAGTGGGGAGATCACGCGTATCGCACGGTTTGGGACCATCCAGAATTCAAGCAACTGCGAAGCCTCTTGAGCGCAAGCCCAAGCTCCGACTCCCCATCAAACCCAGAAGCCCCGAGTGACGACCCACGCGAAAACCGGAAACCTCGAAGCCCGAGAAGGCGCTGTGGAGCCCCAACGAAGGACACCGGAACCCGTCCTCCCAGGCAGCCGGGTTCAGGACCCGGAGGATGCGAACGCGGCCCAGGATGCGGTGGTTGCAGATCTGGGTCCCCAGACTCCCCACCCCACTTTCGATTCTTCCGCCCCTGGACTTCTAGACTTGCATGGGTAGCCTGCAGAATGCGTTCAGCAGCCAGACCGAGGGCAACAAAAGCTTAGACCTCAGGCGCAGGCGTACTTCACCTCATCCGCAGACTCCTCAGACACGTCCGTGAGATCATCCAGGTAGAAGACCACGCCGACCTGTAAGGGCCCCCTCGTCGAAGCTCCTTTTTCCTCCCCTCAGGAAGTCACTTCTTTCAGCGGAGGCCTCCGCGAACACGTTCTCGTCCTCCGGCGACGGGGCTACAACCTGCCAGATCCCGGGTGCCGTTTCGAGAATTCTGGTTTATCCAAAAAACACCTGCTCATCCGACATTGCCATTGAAGTGATGGCTGTCGAAATAGGTTGGACCAGGGACCCCTTATCCCAAGCTGCCGAAATAAGCCCAGCAGCCACAAAGCTCCGGCCACCAGAGACCAAGATGTCGTTGTAGAGCTGCCGATACCTTGAAAGGAAACCTAGAGCTCCATGTCGACAGCGAAACCCAGACCCACTGCCACTGCACCGTGCCTAAATGTTGCTCCACGTCTTGCCGGATTACAAGCCGCTACATATGCTTATAGCGTGATATAGTGCTCTCTTATGCGACCCTATGGTGGTGTGCTGCTGGTTGCCCCCAGACCTTGTCACGTCCATACTATCACATGTGAGGACATATCATATGAAGCTGTACTGCGACATATCCTGGTCCTGGTATATTGCTTTAGAAAGTCTGATATGCAGATAGCTGTGCATGTGTGTATGCACTATTTACTGTTACTGCAAGTACACACGCACACAAAACTCTGGCTCCGCATGAATTCGTGTCTATAAACTTGTGTTCTCCTAGACGAGGCGGAGGAAGGGCTAAGGCGTAGCTGCCTCGGCTCAAAGATGCTCAGCTCCGGCTGCGCAAAGGGGAAGTAGGCACCTGGAAGGTCGACTCGCCGGTCGCTGTAGGCTTTAGAAGTTTAGAGCGATTTGAGGTTAGCCGGGAACTTCAGGAATTGGGGAGTTGAGGAGGGTCCCGGTTTCGCTGATGTCTTCCTTTGGAAAACCTTTGTGGGTTTGCTGGTTTGCTTGTTGCCGCGTGGCCCGCCCTGGGCCTGTCGCCCACGGACCTTCGAAGCTGCCTCAATCCGGATACGTAGAACTTGCAGCCGGTGACGTCCTGAAAATGTGCCTAGTTCTAGTTCCCAAGCACCCCCGTGAATAACTGCATCATTCATGTATCCATGTATCTCTACACGGAAAGATTATGCATGAATCAAACGTACGAAAATCTGGCCAAGAAGAAAGATGCACGTAGATCACCATTCTCTTTGAATACGATCCGAACGAATCCCAACAACATGGTGTGTATGAAGCATACATTGACAAGACAACATGTGGCGCACAAATGTTCCACATAGCTCAGTACAATGCAATGAAACTGCATCATGACACAACACAACGCCCTACACTGCAGGATACAATCTGGTGCACATGTAAGGTAGCGGCCAGAAGGGGCGTAAGATATGAAATGCCTTATACGACCATAGTGACCATGGTAGAATGGAGTCCGCTCAAAGCAAAAGAATTGCAGAATGGCACAGAGTAGAGTAGAACATGTACATTTCGGAAGTTCACACTACATGCACGTGGGGAATAATGATATAACCATATAGTCGTACAACCATGCATGGAAATACTTCTACTCAGCTACATTCCTAAATGAGACTGTGCTGAGAGACACAAAGACCGACCGGCAAGAGCGCGAGAGAGAGAGAGAGAGAGAGAGAGAGAGAGAGAGAGAGAGACACTTAGTGTATGCCAAGACCAGGCCTCCTAGAGGAAAGACGGGCAGGACGCGGCCCTCCGCTGTCTCATCCGGCGCTGAAATGTTCAGTGGGGGCAGCCAAGAAATGCCTGGGCTTTCGGCTGAGTGGCCCAGTGCATCAGGCGGCGCTAGGTGGTTCGTCGAAGTTTCAGGTTCGTTGCATGTCCCGCCAAGAGAGAACCTTGAAGTTTTGGAGCAAGGCTTCTGGCACAAGGCCCTGGCAACCTACAAACATTCCAATGACCACTCGGGAGGGCCATGCAGCATAATTTGGGGCACATGAGCGCCCCGTGCTCTTCGCCCAAGATTTACGTGTACCGGTTACTCGGTTTGCAAGTGGCGAGGATGATCCAAAATTCCCGCCGAACTTGACCGGGATCCTAGAAGCCAACAAACCCCCCCTCTTCGACTCACCGCAAAATCTCCTTCAAAGAAGCAGATCGCCCCAAAGGCCCCGCCAAAACCCAAGGCCCGCACCACCTGGGACCTCATCTGCGGCCTCGTCCTCGGAGAACTCTGCGCCAGCGCAGTGCCCTCTCGGTCGGAGGCGCGACCAAGCCTTCCTTCTTTGGAGGAGGGAGGGCCTAAGGGGTGGGGAGGAGTATCTGTGGCTTGGGATCGGAGGAGGTTACAGATCTTCCCTCACGATCTCCCTGAGCTCTCCACCCGCTACGGCAGGTCTGAACCCTCATCTTTAAAAGCCCACATCCCCGGACGCTTATATAGCCCACTAACAAACCGCGAACATCAGCCTCCGCGCTACAGTGGGCAGCGATGCCCTCGGCTGACAGAAGAGAAGGCCTCGACGAGTGTTGTTGCTGAGGGTTCTCGGTTGATGCCTGACCTGGCTTTCTTTCTGCTGCTGAACCTGGCTCGTCTTTATGCCACTGCTCCTGTCTTTATGCCAACCTCGCTTGTTCTTATGCTGCGGGGTGGGTGGAGGGCCTCTTTGCCTATGCTGCAAAGAAGTGGTTCTGACCAGGCGTCTGACCCCCTCCCCGACGCCTTTTTTCTGTGTCGTGTTGGTGTAGATCATCATCGTGACGAGCCCATGCTGACCATGACCATCAGCATCACCAGAGCATCATCACCACAGCATGATCACCCTCATGATCACCAGCGTCATCTCATCACCATCATCAACAACAACATCATCACATCATCATCATCATCATCAATATCAATATCAATATCAATACCAACATCATCATCGTCATCATGCTCGTCAACCTCGTCGTCATTATTAGTAATGGTTGGGTTGCAGGTGGGTGGATAGCAACATCGACTATCATGTTAGTCAACGTTTCGACCCAATTCCTACTTGGGATAACCCCCAAGCCTTCGCCCTGAATCACGTTGTTCTGAGGCTCCTCCGGTCCAGAGCACAGCCACCGGAAGCAGTCCGTGCAGCGTACGAGGAGCCATTGCCCAGGACGCTGGGTTTTGGGTTGAGGGCGAAGTTGACAAGCATTCAGGGTTGGTGAAGGGCTTCACGGGGCACCTCGGAGACTTGGGTTTAGGATGGGGGCCTTTGACAACTTTGAGCTCAAGTAGGTTTGAGGGCTTGGGCTGGCCAGGGCGCAGGCTTTGGGAAAGGCCCTTTGTTACTTTGCAAAAGCCTGAGTAAGCTTTGAACATAAACTCCAGCCAAGCCTCAACACGACCTGCTTCCCAGATCAAAGCCCTACGCCCGCGCCCCTTCGAGCTTCAGTCACAAGGTCGGTTCCTCTGAGCTTGGCGCTTGACAGTCTGAGCCGGTTGCTACTGGCACGAACAGCCACATGGAACCTTACGAGTAGCCGGACTAACAATGGCCCACTCATACTCCTTGTCAGCCACAACCCCAGTAGTTCCTTCTCCTCTACCAGCGACTGCCACTGCCCACCAATCACCCGCAGCGCCATCACGTGCCTCTCCCAGATCTCGGCCACCTCCGCCGGCGTCACAGCCTCCCGTCTGACATGACTTGCACGCCTCAAGGGTATTGCAAGAATGACTGGGCGCCTCCTTCTCCAGGCACATATCCAACAGCTGCCCGTTTATGTCAAAGCAAACCTGGAGAGGGAAGAGAGGCAGAATCACGAACAAACAAGCATGGGCAGGTGCACAAGCCCTTTGCGAACCGTCTGAACTTGGAGCACAGACGTCCAAATTACTCCCTCCAACACTGCTGAAATAGGTCAGAAGTTCCGAATACTCGCGATTGTGTGATCTGCATGAAAATCTTGGTGATGTTGTATGTATAGCACACAAGGACTAGTTGTGGTGTCATGGTGCTGGGTCTGCAGTTTTTAAGGAGGAGCTTGCAGAACCAGCTCTTCCAAAACCTCGACAAATCATGGGTGCGACATAGAATCAAGCATGAAAGAGGACCATACATAGCCTGCTGTCGATAATCACATATCGCTTTGCTGCGATAACTCGCCTGGCAGCAACAACTACAATAGAAGAACCGCAATGGACACTGGAATCATCAGAACACTACTCCCTCAAGTATGAACGGTGATGAACATCATCGTCATCATCATTATCATCGTCATTTTCATCATCATCATCATCATCATCATCACCATCACCATCATCAGCATCATCGTAGCCGCTGCAGTGGCACCAGCAGCAGTGGTAGCACTTGCACCAGCACTGGCATCAGCAGTAGGAGTAGCAGTGCCAGTTGCAGCGCCAGCTGCACTAGCAGAGGTAGTACATCTCTCTTCTTCAGCAAAGTCAAGAAGGCACGAGCACCCCTTGCATCCCCTGCACGCTTCTGCACCCCGAAGTTGGTACGCCTCTCTTTCGCAGAAGGGAGAGTGAAAACCCAGCATTCCAGGGAAAGCTTGCCCGGTCAAAGGAAACGTCGAAAAAAAAATAAACAGCCCTCTCCCTCCCTCTCCCTCCCTCCCTCCCTCCCTCTCTCTCTCATTTTCTTTGGCCCGATTTCCTCTTTTTTGGGGCCTTCGGCCCCGTCCACTCCTCGAGGAGCGGCTCAGGCTCGTCCGGAAGCTCCGCGCGGAAGGACACGGCGCCCTCTTCGGGAGGACGCGAGGCTCCTCCGAACACGACCCAGGGCAGGGCCCAGGGCTCCTCCCGCCCCTATAGTCCTATAGGGTTTAGGGCTTCGGGGTTTAGGGTTTAGGGGTTTAGGGTTTAGGGTTTAGGGGTGCCGAACCTGCAACCCAGAGCCCAATCGCCTACATCTGCATCCCTCAAGGCACATAAGCAGATCCAAGTTGAGCAAGCCAATCCTGCAAGAGGACGCGACAACTTCAGAAACAATAACCCAGTGTCCCAAATACAAGAGTGTGCACTACACCCTAAAATCCCTAAAAGCCTGTGTTGAAAAAGACTGTCACAAATAAAAGCCCCTGGCTGCAATTGGCTCCTGTCGTCACCTGGGTTCGTTTCTCGTTGGGAGGACGGCGCAAGGCCAGAGTCGTTGCGTCCTGGCCAGGCAGTTAGAATCCCTGTCTCTTTTTCCGGGGTTTAGGATAGGAGTGTTGAAAGCTCACCATCCATTTATTGAGGTTTCGGTGTCGGGGCTGGGGAATTTAGGGCTTTGTTCTCTTGTTGGCTCCAGCACGTGCATTACAGGTGCTGTGAGACCCGGAACAGCGGAACCACTGCAAAGGAGCTTGCTTCCTGCACCTCTCAAAACTTTTCATGCCCTGAATGCGAGCCCCAAGACCCCAAACCTTGAACCTCTGTCGCACGATTTTCAAGCTCGGATTGTAGGATTGAAGGTGAGCACTCAGAGTTTGGCAGATGAGGATAGCAGGGCTCCAGGTCTGCATTCTCCGAGAAAATCCCAAGCGCGCTGAGAAACCCTACGCCACAAATAATAACAATAACAATAATCATAACATAGTAATAATAATACTAATAACAAAAATAACAAAAATAATAGTCGTAATGATAATCGTAATAACAACAATAATTATCCACACACTGCCGACAAGACCATATCGCCTCCCGGGGCGCTGAGAGACCATGCTGCCGCAAAGACCGAAGGGCCTGCTTAGCAGCTCGCCGAACCTCGGGTGCATCTTTGTGGCCTTGGTGGCCTTGGGGCTGGATTGAGGGTTGGGTCTTTTTGGGGCCTTCACTTGGAGTCGGATTCAGGACTTTGCTTTGCTTTGAGTTTCGAGGCTGGGTCTTCAGCATTGCGCTGTCTTGCTTTGGGGCAGTATCTCGGCGATTCCAGGCCTACTAGTGCAGCACCATCGGAAGTCAAAGCCATATGACCATGTTCTCAACATGTCCTCTCAGCGCCTGGCTTCTGTCTTAGGAAAGCCTTACTTTCAAAGCCCCCAAAGTTGAAAGCCCAGCCCATGACCGCTCATGCCCGAAACCTACTCACAGCAGAGCCCATCTGATATTGTGCCTGAGTTGGTGGGGTCTACCTCAACTAAAATTTATCAGAGACCTACATCCAAAATAGCAACCCTTTCTAAGCTTTGGCCTCGTAATCATCATCGGACTCCGCTGTCTCCACCAGTTGTGCCAAGTAAGGCCTCCGTTACATCCAGTTTGATCATGGGTTCTTCTGGAATGTTTGTGCTGGGAATCGAGGGGCGCATTTGTTCAGCAGCTTCGGTTCGGCGGCTTGTCTTGACCTCTAGGACTCGCGGATCCCTTCCTAAGCAGCCAAGGGCAATGTCTAATCTCCTACACAGATTTCCCCATGGAAAGGGGAAGTGCAGATTGCAGATGAGGGGTTCTCAGAGTTGGGGACCTTTGAATGCTCGAGGCTTTCGAGCTGTCGCTGTGCCCGTGGAGGCAACTTTCGACTTCTGGCGTGCTCTTGGTAAAAGCCCTCTAAAGATCAGAAACCAAAAACCTGAAGATTATTTGGCTTGAAGTTTGCCAGTAGTGGTCAGGTTTACGGCATGGGTCTTGGGCGTTGGGTCCCCAAATCCTTGACACCCTCAAGCAGAAACACCTCAGATCCAAGGCAAACCTTAACCCAGAGAGAGGATGAAGAAGAAAAGCCTCAAAGCTTAAACCCCTAACCCCCCAAATCCTATACCCCATAAACCCCTTAAGCCCTTAACCCCTCAAATCCCTTAGACCCCTTCACCAATGCAATGAAGGCTGATGAAGGCTACGCCCTGTGGCCCCACGGTGCAACATTCCCGACCTCTTCAAAAAGCCTCCATCGCAAAACGAAGATCCGGAAAAGAAGAGCAACAGTTAAGGGTTGAGGGCGTATCGGTTTAGAGAGCCTTGAAAGCAACAAAGCACTGGGCCGTCGCGCCCGGCCGCCAAACCCAGACGGCCAAGGCTGCGCACGGCGTCCCGTCGCACTGTGAAGGCCTTCCAAACAAAAAAGGCTTAGGATGGCTTAGGAGTTTCGGAGGTTTCGGGTTTCAGGGTTTTGCATGTAAGTTAAGACGTACGACCCCCATCCGCAGGTTCTGGAGTAGCAACGAAAGATGCAGCTTTTGCGGTGGGTGTTCGGTTTACATCCGTTCATTACTCGTGCCGCACATGCAACCCCAAGAGCTTCGAGAACCTTGCAAGATCTCGCCAGAAACAATGCCCTAAAGCCTGGCTTCGTGACGGAGCGCAGTGCGGCAGAAGGCCGATCCGAGCTTCGAGTTTCCAAGCTCGGACCTCGTCGGCCAGAAGCTGCGCTGCTTCAGCCGCTGCCTGCGCCTTCTCCTCCATGTCAAGCGGCTTCGCCCCACCCGGCCTACTGTGCCAAGCTTGTTTCCTCAAGGGCTGGAAGCAGACTCCTGAAAATCAACTGAACTATGACAACCCCATGCTCCGAAGTACATCCATGAAACCAACGCCCACGCTGACCTTCTCCGGATCCGGTGCAGGATCCTAGGAAAGCCGTTTCGGATCCCTGGGTTGAGGGTGTCCATGGAGTCTTGCCACCTTTACGCCTATAGGTTTGTCAAGGCCCAGGTTGGGCATTGCAGCCGAGCTTCAGCGGTTTCCAGGTCTTCGTAGTCGAAGTCGAACATCTACCGCACCCAAACCATCTACATGCAGCATCCTGACAATGCTCAAGAAGCTGCAGGGCTTCACCCTTATCCTGGCTTCCCTTCACGATAGAATCCCTCACTTACTACTCCTTCGCTCTCAAAGTTCAAGGGAAACTAGAAGGTCACAACACATGCTAACATGCGCCTGTGACCCTTGAATTTGTTTGGCGCGAACTTGGCAATCCGAAGAAACATTCCGCCAACCAGCTCGGACAATCAGCAAGCATTAAACTTGAAAAAACCTCAAAAACCCAAGCTATCCAAGTCAGTGGTTCAACGTCGGCTGAAATGTCCGTGCAGGGAAGTGCGAATTGCATGCAACATCAAGGTCTTCCACATATGCAGCACTGGCTGTTACGAAGAATCAAGCTTTGGCGCAAAAAGCGAGCCTGCATAAGTCTGAAATGCATCAAGATATCTCAGGAAAGCCTCCGTGTCACCTTCAGGCGGAGGAGGCCCCGGAGCACTTACTGGCCCTTGAACCTCAGCGCGACCTCGAGCTGGAGCTGGAGGATCCTCCGCGAGAGCCGCTGCAGTCGAATGGGACGCCGCCATGGCCTGGGCCGCTGCGAAGGGCGCCTTGCACTGGGCCTCCGAACGAGGCGGCGCTGCGAAGGCCCCGCGGCTGAGCTGCGTGCGCGGCGTGCGCTGGGAGCGCTGGGGTGCTGACACTGCCGACGGGGCAGGCGGCGAGGCAGAGCGCTGACGCTGAGGGCGCGGATCACAGCGCTGGTTTCGGGCCTCAAGCAGCTTGCGCCGGAGCTGCTTGTTCTGGAGCTCGAGATGTGCGACTCGCGCTGCAAGGGCTGCGTAGGCCGGTGGTGCGGCCACTGAGACTTCAGGCAGCCCCGAACCGCTGGGGCGGGCTTCCGCTTTGCTCGACACAGCAGCTACAGCAGCCATGGCAAGGCTATCCGACGGTCTTTGCACCTCACCTGCCCATCCTTGGCTCCGGCTGTCCCTCAGACGCTCGGCACGAGCCTTGCGCAGAGAGCAGGCCACGTGCCTCGGTAAACATGGGAGCGGCCCTTCTGGCGGATGCTTGTCCAATGGCTCCGTCCAAGCCCCCTCCTGGATGCACTTCAATAAGAGATCAGCATGCAGATTTCGGTCTTTCTGGAACAAGGGTTGCGTCACGCTTGCCATCAGCTGCAGCCTCTGTGCCCACTGCTCACCGCGAATGCGCATCGCTCGCGGGGCGCTGGCCAAGGCAACTTCCACCGCTTGCATCGTCGTCAGAAACTCCAGGTCCAGCGAGCGCAGCGAGGCCGCTTTTGTCGGAGCCGTCGCCTCAGCGGCTCCCGTGGCCTCGCTCGCTGCTATGGCGAGGGACTCTGCCATCCCGGACCATGGCGGTGAGCTGCCATGCGTCCTTGTTCCCCCGACGCCCGACTCCCCTTTTCACTCTTTCTATCACTGAACATCTAGAACCTGGCAGTGCCAATTTGCATGTCTTTGGCGCCTCTCTGCTTGCGATCACACGCACAGCCCCGTCATGCCCATTGAAGCGAACTTTGGCACTTGACCTTGAGCCTCCGCCAAGGCGAGGTCTTCTGATTGCCGCGGCTCCACGCTTTCGTCAAGCAGGCACTGCCTGGGACGGAGCTGCGGAAGCGCAATGCAACCTGTATGTTGATGTGGAGAAGCATTTACAAAAAGGCAATTTACAGGCAGACAACGAACCCTCCGAAACCAGCCTTAGCCGTAGGCTTTGCAGCGGCAGCCCTTTTAAAATCCTCTGATTCGACGGCAGCGCTCTAGGTGTGAGGGGTATTGTTGGTATTAATGTATATTTATGCCAGTAGGCATTCTGCAAGGTGGCCCTGTTCAAAGGTGGCCCCATGCAAAACTAAAGGCATCCAGAGAAGATCTTTCAGCTCGCCACCCATGCACTGGGTGGCAAAGCCACGATGACTGCGACTGCTCAAGCAAGCAAGCACTTGACACCGTCAGAACTTCCCGGCTTCGAGATCTGGTGAAGGCAGCTACTTTCCGTCAGTCGTCGTGGTAGTTGATGATGGGAATCAGCACTCCCCACACAAGCAAGTACCTGTCGTCATCCCAAATCAGAGAACGGGGTCAAAAAAAAACTGGAGCCCTCAAGAAAGAAACCTGAACAGCCCTTAGCGCAGAAGGTGTATCGCCAGGGGCTTCCGGGAACTCCGAACTCGCCGACATCTCGCACAGCACGGGCACCAGATGTTGGACAAAAGCGCAGCATAGACCACCTGTCCGAAGAGATAGCGTGGAGAGTGGCGACGAGATCGACTTCGATTGCCCACTGCAGACATGAACCGCCAACTCGCATGCTGCGCTGCTTGGCTACACGATCCGGGAGACCCGAAATGCCAAAAGTCCCAAATCTAGACCCTCACCTTTGCCGGTAAGTTGCAGTCTGCGTGCATGAGAAGATGTGCACAGTGTGTGCCTGCATGCTTGCTTTTGGTACGTCACTATGTCCTTTTGCTGTTGCTGCTGGCCCGCCATTGTCGCTACAGGTAGGGCAGCAATCAGTGTGCTGCGAGAACGACGACGACGACGGCGACGACTGCGACTCCTGGTCACTGCTGCTGCCACCAACCATCACCACCACCAGCAATCCGAATCCCACTGCGGCTCCTTGCTGTAGCACCACGACCCTCAGCCTGGAAAGCCTCAAGGACCAGATTTGCAACTGGCCTGGAAGGATTTCGATCCAATCTCTACCCCGAAGATGGCGGGCTTCACATCATGTTGCCTGGCCAACGGCTATGGCTTCCTCTCCAGCTTTGGGGTCCTGGATTAGTCTTTCGATTTCGAGAGACGAAAGCACACGCTCCCTGCACATCCTGTCCAAAGGGATGTCCAAAGCGCAGGTCTCCGAAACCCGGTTGCAGTCTTGAGTCTTGAATATCTCTATCTGGCGTCGTCCTTTCAACCTCCATGTTCAGGGCAGGCACCTCCTAAAACATAGAGCCCCGACAACCTCCCACTCTTCAGAGCTTAAGGCACCCAAGCACCCAAAGCATGCCAGGGCGGCTCTAACAGGAGGATCACGCGCTCGATCATGAGCAGAGCCTGCATTCTGTGGTGTACATGTACAGGCCTTTAAGGCCTCGGCTGGGAAAGTTCCCTGTTGATCCCGATTCCAGGGGTGCGGGCTCCATCCAAGTCGTGCTCATCTCCCGAGCTCTCAGCGGGCATGTCCTCGGACCAGGATTGCGGCTCGGCTTTTGGTTTCAACGACCTCAGCGATTTGTTAGAGGCACGGGGCTTGGGGGGTTTGTTTGAGCTTCTTTAGGGCAAGCTGCACTCCATCAGATGTCGAAGGGCATGATATGAAGCACGGGCGTATGTCAGCAGAAAAAGCCCCAAACAAGCCTGTAGCTGCAGACTGCGCTTTGAATCAAGTCCTACGTTGCACCCTGAACAACTGCCCTGCAAACACGACAAGCTGAAGGTACGGAAAGTGGTGCTGAGCCTTCAGCGTGAGCACCACGGGCGGTGGGCAGAATCAGCGGGAAGCTTCAGGTGATCCCACTTTCCAGAAGCAACCACACGTCTAAAGGAAGATTGGAGCAAAGCAGAGCTCCAAGGGGTGCAAACTGCTCACGCTGCTAACGTTGGCCCCCCTTCGAGGCCAAAGCGAAGCTTCCGAAAGTCCAAGAGGAAACCATGTGGCGACTCTTTGCTCGGGACCCTGCACGGCTCAGGCGGTGCCTTCGCGGCCTTGGGGGCGAGGGGCCAAGTCCAGCCGATTGAAGCTAAGTTGAAAAGCACAGGTGGATGGAGTTGAAAGAGTTTCAGGGTTTCCCTGCTCATGGTGCCGCTAAGAGGCATGGGCCGAGCCAGCAGTGGTTCATGGAAGGCACTGGCACTCTGCACGAAGCCTCTGCGGTCGTGTTGGGGAGAAGGCTTTTGGCCCATGACTGGGATTGGACCCGGCCCTGCACCCCTTACTTCAACATTGGCATCTAGGACTACTTGAGCGTTCTGCTGTTGGGGGGCCAATAGCCTTTCACAACCACGGTTCAACGGGGGCGTGGGGAATCAGTAAAAGATGCTTATGGAAAGTGGTGCAAATCCATCCACAGTGGGGCTGCTATAAATGGCTGCCAGTGGAGACTAGAAAAAGCCAGCGCTGAGCTCCAAACTCCCAGACTGCACCCTCTCAGTGCCAAAACATGAAATGCAGATCAGCAGAAGTCAGGGGAGTCGGCTCGCATCCACACAACATTACATCGTATCATTGCCGCCAACCCGATGACGAGGAGTCCCTAAAACCTCAGAAACCACAGCACACACGGACGTAGCCTGCCGGAGAGCACTCAGAGACCTGACGCTCACCGGACGCTGTGGCCACAGGCTGCGGCGCCTGCAAGTGTTCAGGAAGGACACCTTGGGGGGGCACGGGGCTCTTCGGGATCAGCGCTTTGCACCCTTAACGGCTCGCAGAGCATCTCAAGACTTGGGTCCTGCGCTTGGGCCTTTAGAGTAGGACTTCCGGCTCTGGGGTGCAAGACCGAGTTATGCCTTGAACTCTTGGCGGCTTTCATGCGCCCGCAAGTTGCCAGAAAGCACCCCGAGGCACAGGGACACTTCTTTGCCGCCACGAGTTAATCTGTCCCTGCTGACTTCGGTAAGACAAGCCCACCCAACTAATGGTACAAGGATGGAAACCAAGCAAAGGGACGACAACTGTCAAGCCACACGTAGCAAGCATTTTATCAGAATACTGCGGCAGGTCGAAAGTTCGTCGCTTTCTGTATGTCGCTCTTGAACACGGTACAAGCCCGTTTTCCCCGTAGACTCCTCCACCAAGTTCTCCGTCCGGAACATGTTTAGTAGTATAGTTTTATTCCGGTGGATTAATTCCT